CGAGCGCTCTACCACTTGAGCTACAGCACCACTTCTGGTTTTCTGGTGGTTTATTGGAGATAGGAGTCTCACGGTCTCTCCTGCCTGGGCTGGCTTTGAACCGCGATCCTCAGATCTCAGCCTCCTGAGTAGCTAGGATTACAGGCGTGAGCCACCAGCGCCCGGCTCCAAGTTTCTTATACTGAACAGATGACCAGGAAAGGGCTCTTTCGAAGAGTAACTTCGTCCTCTTTATGTTAGTTTGTTATATCTAACCTGCTTATGTTCTCACTGTTTTATAGCTAACAAAACTGCCAAGTGGAGTATAAAACAAGAAATGTTGGAGCTCATCTAAACAAAAATCACATTCAGAGGGCCTCAGTTGATGAAGCCCCATGCTCATCACCTGACCTCCTGACCCAATATGGATTTGTAGGGCTTGAACTCAGGGCTTGGGCACTGTTCCTGAACTTTTGTGTTCAAGGCCAGTGCTTGACCACTTAGAGCCACAGCATCATTTCTGGCTTTTGGGTGGTTAATTGCTGATAAGACTCTCACGGACTTTCCAATCGGGGTTGGCTTTGAACAGTAAGCCTCAGATCTCACCTCCTGAGTAGCTAGGATTACAAGTGTGAACCACCAGCATCTGGCTTTTAGAATATTTTCATTACTCCATTTCAGCCTCTTCGGGTTCCATGAGTCCCCCTTCTCTTGGAATTTTGTCGCAGCCTGTTTTTTCCCCAAGTGAATGCTACAAAGTGAGGGTATCTTCCTCTCTGGGATAGCTCCATTTTCCTAAGCTTACAAGAGGTCTAAAGGACACAATCTCTTGGTGGCATTTGGAACAGCTTGGCAGATTTGAGGTGGATGGCATGGGTAGTTTTGTTTTTTTTTTGGTCGGTTGTGGGGTCTGAACTCTGGGCCTGGGCACTGTCCCTCAGCTCTTCAGCTCAAGGCTAGCGCTCTACCTCTTGAGCCACAGCACCACTTCCAATTTTCTGGTGGTTAATGGGGAATAAGAGTCTCATGGACTTTCCTTGCCTGGGCTGGCTTTGAACCTCGATCCTCAGATCTCAGCCTCCTGAGTAGCTAGGATTACAGGCGTGAGTCACCAGCACCCGGCTGTCAAAGGTAGTTTCTAAAGATTATTGAACAATCCCTTATAACACTGTCCCCTGGTAGCTCTCAACAGTGTGGTTGGCTCAGTGAGACTTGGTGTTTTTCCTTCTCATTGGGACCTTCCGTACATGAGGAACTGTCTTGTTAAGTCCTTTGGGCATATAGGAAATCTACCATAACTCACCCCACACCAAATGTACTGTAGGGTGTGGTTTAACCACTTAAATTAGGTCATTACTTACTGTAGGTTAAATCTATAGAATGAATTTACCATTCAGTCCCAGTCTCCAATGATCCTATTTCAGACATCAAATGGTGGTGGTCAACTTTTATTTGGCAGACCACTGGTGTTGGCCAACAGAATGGAATAGCCCTGGGTCATAATGGTGGGACAGCCAGGAAATGCAGACTCACCGTGGTTGTAGAATGCTGCTCATCTCCAAACTGGACCACAATTACTAGCCAGAACAAGTCTTTGTTTTGCAAAAGGGAAAAAATATCTCCTTCTATACTTTCAACAAGAGTACCTTAGAAAAATGTTACTGAGGGAAAATTATGAAGAGGAGGCTGAGATGTGCAGAAGCCAACTCGTTCTTCTCATCCCTCTGGTAGACACAGAGGGATCTATCCAGACCTCCTGAGTGACCTATGCCTGTTCCTAGTAAGTGACGTAAAAGAGCCTTTTCCTGATAGTTAAGTCAGGGATACTTCAATGTATTTTGCTTGCTTGTTTTTATTAAGGTAGGGGAAAAAAATCCTGTCTTTGTGTTCTGGATGGAGTCAGATAGAAATAGCCTCATTAGCTCAGTGTAATGGCCGGACTTGCTCCGGTGGAGGCAGGGAGACAAGCTGGTATTTGCAGTGTCATTGAGGTGGTGAGGTACAGAATTAAGATGCCTTTTCTCCAGTGTCAAGGACAACTTTATGGAAGTTAATTTGCTTAATACAAGAGAGTGCTTTTAATCAGTCCTTTGTGAAGAAAGAAACCTGAGAAAGTTGTTTTTCAATTATCTGGTTAAAAATTGCATCGTTCTTTCTCCCCACCCCTCTAACTCTGGAAATGAATGGCTGCTTTATTTTGTGGCAAGAAGGTTCTGTACCCTCATCTTGCAAATGTTGAGATGTGCAGGATTATCCCTTGAGTCCTATTAGCTGAAAAGTGTTATAATGTAGAAAACAATTGATTTGCCTTTGAGAAATTCTAAGATGAGAATGAGACTTTGTAAAATAAGTCTCAAAGTCTCATATTATCCCAAAGAGCTATATGTAAGACTACAAAGACTAAAACTTCACCTTATTTTTTTGGGGGGGGGTCCAGTTGTGGGGCCTGAACTCTGGGCCTGGGCGCTGTCCCTCAGCTCTTCAGCTCAAGGCTAGCGCTCTACCACTTGAGCCACAGCACCACTTCTGGCTTTTTTCTTTTTGCTTATGTGGTGCTGAGGAATCGAACCCAGGGCCTCACGCATGCAAGGCAAGCGCTCTACCACTGAGCCCCCTTCCCAGACTCTTCATTTTATTTTTAAAGTGTGATTTTGTTGTTATTACTAAGGTATTGTTCAGAGGGGGTCACCATATGTCAGGTAATGAGTACAATTATTTTTGGACAATGTCACCCCTTCCTTTGCTTCCCTACCCCAGATCTCCCCCAAATCATTTTTAAACCTCAAATTATATTTTAATTTAAAACTCAAATCAGAATGCTACATGCTTTCAGTTAGAAAGGCCTTAGCTGTATTCTGGAGCCAGTTTTCCATTTTCTTGCTGGGTGGGGCAGAATGGGGCTTGAGACAGGCCTGAAGGAGTTAATGCTTGTTGGGCATTATTCTTAAACAAATCAAGGGCTGGCATAGCAGCAGCAGCAGCAGCAGCTTCTCCCCAGGGAAAGGCGGGGAGGAGACAGGGACAGAGGAGAGACAGGGACAGAGGAGGAGACAGGGACAGAGTGTTCAGCTGGGAGAGCCAGTGCTAGCTCAGCCGCATTGTTTACTCTCTACCCACCAAGGACACACTGGTGTGGTGGCGAGAGCATGTGTGCCCGGGTTTGGGATGATGGGCACAGAAAGCCCCATTTGGTGACTCATCCAGAGCACTGAGGCGCAGCAGTGCAGTAGGACTGGGTGTTGGTCTCTTTCTCTGTTAACCTCCAACACTTTGAACTGAGCAGGAGCGGCTGGAGGCAATGATGCGGCGGTCCATGGAACGCACCCAGCAGCTGGAGCTGAAGAAGAAGAGTTCGTGGGGAACATCACTGGCCTCAGGGAACGGAGGACGTGATTGTAAGTGCAGAGCTGTCCCCACTTTGTAGGGCCCCAGTAGGAGAGGATGGGTATCTGCATTATCTGGGGAGGGGAGGGTGTTGTGCACAATTTTACAGGTTTCCTTTTCATGCGTGTATTTAAAACCTGCTCATGCATTTCTCACGAGGGAGAGTTGTACGTGCTTTCCTTGCTAGCAAACAGCACTTGATGTAATATTGGGCTTTGAGGGAGAAGAAAAACAAGGCAAAGGAAATGAACGTAATATAGAGCCTGCCTAGCTGGACCCAGCAGGGCAAGTTGGCTGATTTTTTCAGGGGAGGGGAATGGCAGCGAGGCTCAGTCACAGCTCCAGAGGAGACTGGCAATGGCATGACACCTTACCTTCTTGCAAAGGGCTGGGTCTTTTCCTCCCCTCATTCTGAGTTTTTGTTGCTCTTTTTGATTTTGTTGCAAGATGACTTATTTATTTCATTATCCAGTTCATACTCATCTTTAAATTTCCAAATGTGTGCATTATGAGATGGATTGTTACTAATCTCACAGGGACTTTCCCCTCTTTTCAAAAGTATCACGCTGTGTTTGTGCACTCAGCCTTCTATTAGGTAGGACTCACGTACTAGCGTTCTGAGAATAGAGGCTTAGCGTACTGTTCCTTGACTTTGCTGTATTGTGCTTTTAGCAGTGAATATACTTTATCCCTTTCTTTGGTGAGAAGTCAACAACCCATGAGTTATTTTTCTCATTTCCTAATTAGAAACTAAAATGCAACAACCAATCAGGACTTTTTTCTTTTACCTCTCTTTGCTCTGATCTTTTTTTTTTTGCTGTGTAGGTGAATCAGAAAATGCCCCACCCCTTCCTCTAGGTTTAGCAGCCAGCACCCTCCCTCCGGATGCAGGGACCGCTGCCACCGCTGCCGAGCCTACCAACGGTATATCCAAGCATCACCGTGCATAGCATGCTGTGATAACTGTCCTGACCACCCTCCTCCATCACTGTGTGTCTCAAGCACTTTCACAACGGGTTTCTTAATCTGGCCAGTTACAACTTTTCTTCTAGAGATGTGAATGACACACCCATACTTCTTTGTTTCTCTGTCATCGTGGAGCTGTGCATGTCTGATGTCTTAGTGTCGTAGAGGCATCTCATCTTCAGCTCACTAACTCTTGCCTTAGAAATCCTGTCAATATTTGATTTTTGCGCACTTAGATCTTTGACAGTCTCATTAATCATTGGTCTAAGGCACTGAGTGGTGAAGTATCACTTGAGATTCACAAAGCAGAAATCTCACAGAGTTCTGAAGTAGAATACTTGGTGTTAGTGTGATGAGTTCTAGGAGAAGCGTTCGAGAGGAGTCATAGGGAGTTTATCAGTATTTCGAACACTGGGAGTTCCAAATAACTAGACAACTTGCCTTTATGCTTGATTTCATCTCTTTCTCTCTAAAGGCTTCTGTTTTAGATGCAGGCGTGGTGAACCCTAATGGCCTAGTAAGAGCAGAACTAGCAAGACTTAGCTCCCATTTAATCATGAGTTTAGAAATACAACCCGCCTTTCACTGACCAACAACAAAATATAAGAGAGGTACGAGCTGGTGCTGGTGGCTTATGCCTGTAATCCTGGCAACTCAGGAGCTTGAGATCTGGACAGTTAAGTTTGGAAGACAGCCTGAGCAGAAAAGCCAATGAGGGTCCATCTCCACTTAAGCAGCAAAAAGCTACGCTAGAGAGGTGGCTCAAGTGATAGAACGCCAGCCATGAGTAAGCAAACAGAGTGAGCCAGAGGCCATGACTCAAACCTTTGGTACAAACCAAATAAAAAAGGGAGGGGGGAGGATGAAATGTTTCCCAGCGATACCGGTCATATTGGCAGTAGAAAGAAATATCCTTGCTTTCTGTCATTTCCTTTGACAAATAATGTCCTTATTAGTGGTGAGTAATAGGACAATTTTTGCTGCACAATGAGATACTGGCCTTCCCTTACTGAGGGGAGTAAGTATAACAATCATTCACTTTGAATTAATACCCAAGGCAGGACTGGTGAGAGGAGTGACTCACATACACTAAGAGGACCCCCAAAATGCCAGTAATCAAGATAACAATAATTTTCAGTGAAGTATTTTTTTAAATAAAAATTAATACAATCCGGGCTGGGAAGGTGGCTCAGTGGTAGAGTGCTTGCCTTGCATGCATGAGGCCCTGGGTTCCATTCCTCAACACCACATAAGCAGAAAAAGCTGGAAGTGGCGCTGTGGCTCAAGTGGTAGAGTGCTAGCCTTGAGCTGAAGAGCTGAGGGACAGCGCCCAGGCCCAGAGTTCAGGCCCCACAACCGGACCCAAAAAAAAATTAATACAATCCATAATAAAATACTAGATTTCTTCTTCCTTCCCTTCCTTCCTACCTCTATGTCTCCCCTTTCCTTTCCTTTCTCTCCTCCCTCCTTCTCCCTCTCTCTGTAACCCATTTTAGGCAATTACTCGAACATTGAACTATAACCCCATCCCCAAATACTGAATTTCTAAAGATCAATGTCATACTGAGCCGTATTAGAGTATGGGGCAAAAGGGAAAAATGTGCATCCCTGCATATATTGTTGTATATAATTTCTAGTAACTACTTTTCCAGAAAATTAAATTAGTTCCAGAAATTGAAAAGTAGTTTTACAGAATACAATTTCAAGTTGAAATATGTTGTGTTATCCTCAATCCAACTACACTGTATTTTGACTTCAGCTTAAGTTAACTAAAATTATTTAGTTTCCAGTTAGTGGCAATTTTCAGACCTGACAGTTCTTGTCTTTGAAAATAAAATGAGCAGAAAATATTGATGAATTTGCTTCCTCAGCAGTGATAGGCATACTTTTTTTTAAACCTCAGGTTGTAGCATAGCTGAGCTGGGCACTGACAGAATCTCTCAGTTGTCTGTAATGATTGAGTTTAGAAGCATCTGAAATAATGGCTTGAACATCAGAACACCAAATCTAGGGTTTCGTGTTAAATCCTAACCATAAACTATTGCAGCATTTAGGAAAAGGACATTTTAACCCCATCTCTTCACAAGAGGACCAAAACAGACTGCCTTAAGGTAGATCTCTATTAAATATAGCTTTTTGTGTTCCAGATTACATCTTTCTCCAAACTGAGCCATAGAAAAATTGAGTTTCGGCACAGGGTCTCATTCAGACTGTAGGACATTTTCAATTAGTGATTTGTCTCTGGGTCCACATTTTTTTTTCGTGTGGTATGAATATGTATTAAAAAATTCTCTGGACACACACACACACACGAAACATGTTTTGAGGTTAGGGTATGGCTTTAGTTGAACATCGGTGTGAGCTTGGACATTTGAAATTGAAGGGAAGTACATGGTGAAGAAATTATAGATGGATAACTGCTGGAGCTCGAGTATTTTCCAGGTTAGGATCATGAGATGATGAGGGAATCATGGATGCCGAGTGTGCTGTGCTACAGCAGGACTCCGCTGGTGGTGTGTGGATGAGGACAGGAAGGACACTTTGGAATATGTGGTTCTCTGTCAACAGCGGTGTGAATACCAATGTCTTTAATGCGTTTCTCTGCAGCATGTGACAAACTTTCAACATCAACCATGAATTTGCCAAAGCAGACGGAGCCTCCCATGAGTAAACGCCTGTCTTCATCCACCGTGGCAATATCCTATTCCCCAGACCGAGGCAAGTGAATGTGTAGACCTAGTCTCTCCCGTTTGCTTCTTTCTGGTGTGAGCATCTTAACATTGGCCATTCTGAGCACTCTTTCTTGAGCCTTCTGCAAATAGTGCTTTGGTCCTAGCCTCCACGGCCTTGCTAACAGGATTCTGGAAAGCAGCATTGCTTCTTAGAGCCAGGTTGTTGTTGAATAGGGACAGGAATTCATCTTTTCCCAGTCTGTGAGAAACCAGTCACTTGCCACAGAGCATGGAGGAATTTAAAAAGTACTTACCTAATCAGGGACAGGATACAATTGATTAGCCAGGAAGAACAGAATTGATGAGTCAAAGGTTTATTTGGGGGGGAGGGAGGGAACTTTGTGTGTGAAAAAATTGGGCCTCTGAAGTTGTTCGTGGTTTGTAGAGCTGCCAAGTTGATGGATGAAAACAGAAGTAATTTGAGGTGTCTAAAAGAGGGAAAGGATGGCTAGTCTTTTCCGGCACTGCTTTGAGTTGGGAGATGATGCTTATTAGGGACCAATTCCAGTACCCAAATAGATTTAATAACATCTGTGCTCTAATGGAGGTCCAGATAAGTCATTGGAAGCCTGAATTTATGTCTTTCATAGTATGAAGGTTGGAAGGAGAGGTTTCTCCATGTGTTACATACGTATCCTAAAGCTCCACTGAAGGGGGAGCATTAGTTTGAGTATTGGGCATATCAAGCCATCACAAGTGGTGAGCAGGAAGACTTTTGTGACTTACAAGTGACCAGTTGGCTTTCCTGGTTATGGTTCCACTGGTATTGGCCTCACTACTGTATCACAGAGACAGGGCGTGTATGTCAGAGCACCTGTGAGTGTCAAGAGTCTACTGATTTCTAGTGCCCTTCATAGGTCAGCACCATAGGAACTTGGAAGGAAGGAAGAATTGGACAAGAAAATACACAATCTTGGTGGGCACTGGTGGCTCATGCCTGTAATCCTAATTCCTCAGGAGGTTGAGAGCTGAGGGTCACAGTTCAAAGCCACCCTAGGCAGAAAAGTCCTTGAGACTCTTATCTCCAATTAACCACCAGAAAACTGGAAGTGGTGCTGTGGCTCAAGTGGCAGAGTATCAGCCTTGAGCAAAAAAGCCAAGTGAGATCATAAGACCCTGAGTTCAAGCCCCAGTACGGGCACCCCTCCCAAATACTCTTTATAACTATTCCATTAATGAATAAAGCCCATATGTTTTTGAAGATTCACATGGTTACAGATTGATGGTAAATTCTTTTTTGCATTGATTAACATGTGAACATATACATGCTATTATATGCTATTGACAACTAAATTATTTGCTAGTAAATTATAAATTGAAAACGTATAATCCTCAAACCAAAGAATACAAAGTAATTCTTTGAATCTGTTGCCATATAATATATTCCAAAACCATTAAGCTATTTTGGTCATTGAATTTTAAATTATGAATCCCATTATCCTCCATTAAAGCTGAAAGTCATATTTTCATGCCTTCTGGTTCAGTTTGACCCTTATTTATAGGGAAAAGATATGAAAGGATCTATTTTTATATTATTATAGGATGGAATATTTCATTTAAAATCTGTTATAAAATATCTGAACAGAGGACCTAAAATGAGCATTTTGTAGCTGTAATCTTTTTGTCACTGGTAAGTGTACTAGATGAGGGAATGACTATATTAACATCTTGGGAGATGGGCTAATTTCCTTTACATGATACAGATCACTCTACTGTAATAGTGTGTTAAGTAAATTCTGGTGCCCCAAGAGAATTAATGCACTCTCCAAACTCTAAATGATGCATCATTTGTTTTATTTTCCTGTGATAAATTCCAAAGCCATTTATCCATTAGAATATTTTTATTTTCCACATTTGTTCTGCCACCCCAAATTTAATTTGCATCATGCATGCACTGTGTTGTTGAAACATTTTTTTTTGGTTTTCTTTTAATTTTGCTTTTTAAATGTTTTCATTTGATTCCATCTTTTAGCTCGTCGCACTCACCTTAGTCCTATGGAAAACTTTCTTGTTATGCGACTGTTGACACCCACACAGGCTTCTTTAGCCAGAAGCAGAAGTGCATTCATGTTCTCTGAGCAGGCCAGAGACGCAGGTAAAAGAGGTTCAGCTGGTGACACCAAGGAAAATGATCAGAGCAGTGTTGGTCACCCTTGGAATTTACTCCTGAAGTTTTGTGTTTTGCTTGCCATTTGCTGGCTTTGTAAAATGTCTTCATTGGTTAATAACATTTTCTACCTACCAGTGTTTTGCTGTTGCTGTTTCTTTTAAGTGTCACAGAGGTGAGTAAATTGTTTTATGACTAAGGCTATGTGCTTTGGGGGGGAAAAAAACCACTTGATATGCTATGAAAGTTAGTAGCCTTTGCATAGGAAGTGGTTTGGCAAGGTTGCCAATAGAGCACATTCTCTGGCATTCCAAAGCTAGCTGTATCACTCACTAGCTCTTAATGTTTTCAGAAAGTCGATTTATAACTTCTCTAAACCTCAGTTTGCCTATCTATAAAATGGAAGTTACTTTAAATTGTGAGCACCAGGAGTGATCGCACGTGTCTACTCAGGAGGCTGAGATAGGAAGGTTGTAAATTCAAGGGCAATGAAATGAGACCCCCCCCACCTCAAAATTTTAGTATTAAATTGTTACAAGAATTAAATAGGATAATGCTATAAATGAGAGAGTAGAGCCAGGCACTTGTGGCTCATACATATAATCCTATATACTCAGGAGGCTGAGCGCTAAGGATCATGACTCAATCTTGCCCAAGTAGACAGATCCCAGAGAGTCTCATCTCCACTTAACCATCAAAAAGCCAGAACTGGATGCATGCCTTAAGTGGTAGAGCAAACTCTGGCAAAAAGATAAGTAATAGCAAAATGCTACAAATTCAAGCCCTACTAGTGGCACACAAATGAATGAATGAGAGGAAGAGAGAATGGGATGAAGGAGAGCGAGGGAGGGAGTGAAAGATGACACAGATTAAGAAATCAGCCTTGCAACTTAAAAAGCTGGTTGATGGACTAGCAATGACAACATCACCTGGAAACTTCAGGACAGCCTGCACTTAGACCCTCTATAGCTGCACATTAAAGTCTGAGAAACCACGGGACCAGACCATTAAAGTCCCACCTTTGCTCACTCATATCAAATCATCATGTCAGGATTAACAAGGGCTGATATTATTTGTGTGCAGATTAGCAATGCCATGTCCCTGTAAGTTGGGTCTGTGTTTTCCAGCCCCAAGACACAGTGTATTTAGTGAAATAACATGTAAATGACATTAAACCTCCTAAGCATAGATTACCTACCATATGACTCAGCAGTGCCACTTCTAAGTATAGAGCCAAAGAAATTAAAAGCATAGAAAAACTTGTACACAATGTTCTTAGCATAATTATTCATAGTAGCAACAAAGTCCAGGGGAAAACAGGCGCACGCTCTGGAAGGCACTGGGGATCCATTTCCCCAGCAGGGAATCACGACAGCAGGTACAGAGTGTCGCCCACAAAGGAAGCTGGTTAGAGACTCCGTACTTAGGGTTTTTAATAGGGCCTGATTATGTGCATGCCTTGCCCAGCACACACCAAAATTGCAGATTCCTAGGTCGAAAGCAGGATATTCAGTATACACCATATTAAACAGTTGAAGCACAATGAGCCACTCATCCACAAACGGTGGGAACCCTGCCCACATCTGAAGTTCTTAGATGCTGGCTGTGGCCTAACCTTGTGAGCAGAGCATTCAAGTCTGCACAGTCCACCCCTTGACCCTTTGCCAAGGTATTTTTTGACCAGAAGACCCACACAGCAGGATGAGAGCAGCCTAGGATACTGACCTCTTTATGTCCATTAGGAATTCTAGATTTAGCAGTTAAACCAACTCTCACTAACCATCAAGATCTTTGTTAGGTAGCCAGGTGGCTTCCTTCATCACTTCCTTTTGAGTCTGTTTCACCCCCTACCCTTTTTGTCTAAAAAACATCAGTCCCAGCAGGACACGCTTGTGGTTCACCCTAGCTACTCAGGAGGCTGAGATCTGAGGATCACAATTTGAAGCTAGCTCAGACAGGAAAGTCCAGGAGAGATGATCGCCAATTAACCACAAAAAAAAAGCCAGAAGTGGAGCTATGGCTCAAGTGGTAGAGCACTAGCATTGAGAAAAAAGGCTCAGGGATGGTGTCTAGGCCCTGAGTTCAAGCCCCAGGACCAACACCAAAAATACAAAACAAAGCAAAAAACCCCCACAAAACCCCCCACAAACCATCAATCCCTTCCCAGTTACATTGAACAGATTGTTTTACAAAGGTGTATTGGGAAGAAAGTAAGGGAAGTAGTGATGCATCCCCTAGAGGAAATAGAATTTGATTTGTCATGGGTGGGAATAGGGGTCTCATTGCCAACTTGCAACTTTTTGGGGGCCTAGAAAGACAGGGTCATCTTTTGGGTAATCTAATCAGAGAAGGGTATACTTTTGTACAATCCAGATGCTGCCGGGCACCAAGATCCAAGGATCGAGATTCAAAGTCAGCCCGATCAGGAAAGTCCATGAGACTCTTTTTTTTTTTTTTTTTTTTCGGTTGTGGGGCTTGAACTCTGGGCCTGGGCGCTGTCCCTCAGCTCTTCAGCTCAAGGCCAGCGCTCTACCACTTGAGCTACAGCGCCACTTCCGGTTTTCTGGTGGTTTATTGGAGATAAGAGTCTCACGGTCTCTCCTGCCTAGGCTGGCTTTGAACTGCGATCCTCAGATCTCAGCCTCCTGAGTAGCTAGGATTACAGGCGTGAGCCACCAGCGCCCGGCTCCATGAGACTCTTTTTTTTTTTTGGGTCCGGTCGTGTGGCCTGAACTGTGGGCCTGGGCGCTGTCCCTCAGCTCTTCAGCTCAAGGCTAGCGCTCTACCACTTGAGCCACAGCGCCACTTCCGGCTTTTTTCTTTTTGCTTATGTGGTGCTGAGGAATTGAACCCAGGGCCTCGAGCATGCAAGGCAAGCGCTCTACCACTGAGCCACCTTCCCAGCCCTCCATGAGACTCTTATCTCCAATAAACCACTAGAAAACTGTAAGTGGACCTGTAGTTCAAACAGTAGAGTGTTCGCCTTGAGCTGAAGAGTGCAGGGACAGCGCCCAAGCCCAGAGTTCAAGTCCCACAACTGACAAAACAAACAAACAAACAACCCAGATGCTTCAGCAATATCTAGGATATGTTTTTTCTTCCCAATTTTTTTTTCTTGGTTGTGGGCTTGAACTCAGGACCTGAATGCTGTCCTTAAGCTCTTTTACTCAAGGCTAGTGCTCTACCACTTTGAGCCATAGTTCCACTTCCAGTTTTTAAATGATTAATTAGAGATAAGAGTCTCATGGGGACTTTTCTGTCCTGGCTGGCTTCGAACCGTGATCCTCAGATCCTCAGATCTCAGGCACGAGCAACCAGTGCCCAGCTGGGACCATCTATTTTTATACCAGTCCCCAGTTGATGTTCCACACTCCAGAGTATATCTATATCTGGAAATCACATTTCTTTTCATATCTCCCTTTCTCCAGAGGCTCTATTTAAAACTCTCAGCAGGAAAGTTTAGCTATAGGAATTGTTATAGTTCCAGTATTCAGAGTTTTAAGTGCCAGCATCCACTGATGACAAAAAAAAAAAGATGAAAGCTTTCTCTTCCACTTGGAGGAGAAAACTAAAAAACGAAGACATGTAGACCACACATTCTTGCCTCACTTGAGCTAGTCTGGATAGGAGTAGCCAGGGAATCCGCTGAGCCAACTCTCTTGGACTTTGCAATTGTTATCTTCAAATTCCATAGGCAGCTTTGACCTATCATACAGCAGATGACTCCATGATCACCCAGGCCCACAAGTTCCTCATCCTTTATTCCTTTATCCCATCTTTTCCAAAATGGTGCTTTGACTACATTTTAGTGAATCAGGATCAGTCTACCAATGACCATTTCTTGTTTTTTTTTTCTTTTTGCCAGTCCTAGGGCTTGAACTCAGGGCCAAACTCAGGGCCTGGGTGCTGTCCCTGAGCTTCTTTTCCTCAGGGCTAGTGTTCTACCACTTGAGCCATAGCACCACTTCCAGTTTTCTGGTGGTTAATTGGAAATAAGTGTCTCATGGACTTTCCTGCTCTGGTTGGCTTCAAACCACGATCCTCAGATGTCAGCCTTCTGAGTGGCTAGGATTACTGGCATGAGCCACTGGTGCCTGGCTCAATGTCTACTTTTGACACCAATTGTAGCTGGGTTTTCTGAGACCACTAAGGTTAGATGATTCACCAGAAATATACATAGAAAAATGAGCAAAGGGAAGAAGTACATGGTTAGAGGGCCAGAGGAAAGTATGTTCAACTTTTCAAAGATCCTTTCCTGGTAGAGTTACACAGCAATGAATTGTGATGACACTTGTGAAATAATTGCCGAGTAAGGAAGCATTCTAGACAGAGATTCTGTGCTTAGGAGTTTTACTCAGGACTAGTTATGCAGGCACCTATGCTAGTCCTATACCCAAATTTCAGAAACCCAGAAATGTGTTATTTATATAAACAGTTTAGGACCAGAAGCTAATTGTAGGAACTTCCTTGAAATCTAAGTTTCTAGGTAGCAGCCAAGAGCCAACATTTAAACAGGCCCTTCCAAGGACAGTGGTCAGGACTGCTGTGAAGTTCTTTTTTATGTGTGAGTACTGGGGCTTGAACTCGGGGCTCACTTGGCTTTTTCTCTCAAAGTTAGTGCTCTATCACTTGAGCCACACCTCTTCATCCAGCTTGTTGCTGGTTAATTGGAGATAAGAGTCTTGCAGACTTTTCTGCTCAGAGTTGGCTTTGACCTTCAACCCTCAGTTCTCACCCTTCTGAGTATCTAGGATTACAGGCATGAGCCACCGATCCTCGGGTTAATTCTTCTTGCATAAGGAAACTGAGGTCTTCTCTAGAGCTGCCCAAGGTGATCTAACTAATTAGTAGCAGTATGGAATCTGACTTACTCCAAAGTACAGACTGTTAACCCCTGAAATGAATTTGACTTTTGAGTCTGGGAGCCTTTTAAAGATGGGCTCCATTCTGTGTACAACAGAAAAAGGAGAGTTTTGACAATGTGGATTTCCTGTGTTACATTTTAATAAAAATGTTCTTCTCAACTTCTGCACCCCTCGCTTTTCTGATCTGCACTCCATCTTTGTTGGCTATATTATCTATAACCCTCTAGTTTTCCATGCTTGCCCTCGTATAGCTCCTGCTAGCCCTCTTAGATCTGCATACAAATCTTCTCCTACCCGAACCATGGAGAGGAAGAAGGCTGCATCTGCTTCTGGCGCGGGAGAGGCTGGGAAGGATGCTCAGGCAGGAGCAGAAGCATCTTCTGTAAGTCTAAACTCACTTGCTCACTACATCCTTTCCCACTGTGCTTTATCTAACAGTGTAATGACTTCCTTCCCTTGACCTGAGTTTAATGCTTCTGTCAGCCTAAAGGACAGGAATTTGAAGGAGTGTTGCAGTGACATCTCTGCTTCTTTAAAGCCATCCAGTCCTGGGCCTTTGTGGGTGCCTACTTACTGTTACCATTTGTTCTACACAGCAAAGTACCCCAAACCTTGGCCTCTTAAACACAGCAAAGTACCCCAAACCTTGGCCTCTTAAAACAACATATATTTCTTACCTTGTGGGCTCTTGGGGTCAGACTTGAGAGCTGCTCAGTTGAGAGATATATGGTTCTGGTATGGGGTCTCTCATGAGACTATAGTCAAAATGCTGGACTGGTCCTGTTCTACATATTCCTCTCATGGCTGCTGACCAGAGGCCTTACTTCCTTACTACTCTTAGGGCAAACCTGCTTGCGCATCCAAATCACATGGCAACTGGCTTCTCCCACAGCACATGACGTGGGAGAGAGTACAAGAAGAAAGCTGCAGTAACTTTCATGTCCAACTTGTCACATCTGTCACATTATTTATTCAAAGGAAGTTGCTGAGAGCAATCCAAAATCAAGGGGGTATTGAACTCCACCTGTTCAAGGGAGGCCTTAATGCTAAAACCACCATAATGTTGCATTATTTTATTTTACTTTTGTAGTACTGGGCATCATCCCCAGGGGGATGTTTCTACACATTCACTGTGGCCCTGAGGGTCTTTAAAAAAAAAGAGGTGAGGAGCTGGGAAGGTGGCTCAGTGGTAGAGTGCTTGCTTTACATGCATGAGGCTCTGGGTTTGATTCCTCAGCACCACATAAGCAGAAAAATCCAGAAATGGCACTGTGGCTCAAGTGGTAGGGCACTAGCCTTGAACTGAAGAGCTGAGGGACAGTGCCCAGGCCCAGAGTTCAGGCTCCATGACCACCACCAACAACAACAAAACAGGTGAATGCTTCTGACCCTTAGGTTTGCTGTAGGATGAATTACTGGGTGTGTGTGTGGGGGGGGTTTGTAGATGTGGGCCAAATGAAGACTGGCTTCAGGAAAGTATATTGAGGAAAGAAAGGAAGAGATCCTTATGGAGTCACTGGTGTCCTTGTTCTTCTGCCTTCTTCCTAGAGAAAGGAAGGGGACAATTCAAAGAAATGGGAGTGTCACAGTCCCGTTACCATGTATGCCATCCAAAGTCGCTGTCTTGGATAGTGTAACCACATTCTCACACACCTGTAATTTTTTTTTATCAGTCGTGGGGCTTGAACTCTGGGCCTGGGCGCTGTCCCTCAGCTCTTCAGCTCAAGGCGAGCACTCTACCACTTGAGCTACAGCGCCACTTCTGGTTTTCTGGTGGTTTATTGGAGACAGGAGTCTCACGGTCTTTCCTGCTCGGGCTGACTTTGAACCGCGATCCTCAGATCTCAGCCTCCTGAGTAGCTAGGATTACAGGCGTGAGCCACCAGCGCCCGGCTACACCTGTAATTTTTTAATAGTTAACATATGCTTTTCAACTCTTCCATATGTCCAAGAGCAAAGTATGGTTCTATTGTTAGCTCTTGGTATGATAACTGGAAGTGGGAGCCTTCTATTGAATGACCTAAATGTGATGCACATTACACACGAAGCATATCATAGCTTTATATTGGTTCCTCTTAAAGCCGTGTGCCAATTGCATCTGGGATATTTTTAGAAATTGTAGTAAGGAGTATCAGCCACTCACAGTAACGGTCTTACTCTGTGTCCCTTACAGATGGAGAAGATGAAGAAAGGACGAGGTACGGCTTCTGCTCCACCTGGGGGCCTTGGGTCCCCACTGAAACGACACGAGCTTTCCGGAGATACTCCTAAGAGGGCATCCTCTCCTGTAGCATCCAAGTAAGCGTCTTTGCCCTTTGTTAGATCCACTGGATGGTTAAGAGCTAGTCCGTGGCGCTTTGTTCCATCCACTGTTGCAGCTGTTGCTTCCCATAAGACCTGGCCAGCCAAAAGGAGCAAGCAGGAGAAATGCTAACCTAGAGCTGTCTCTTTCAACTCTATGTATCTTCTGGTAAATGATGGATCATTGGGAGGTTTGTTTTCTGGCAAATATAGACTTCTTATTTGCTGAGGTGAAGCATTGAGCATTTTCTTTGGTGCCCTTGAACTCCAGCCCACTTCTTTGGTATTCTTAGCTACACTCTTTTTTTTTTTTTTTTTGCTGAGGGGCAGTTACTGGGGCTTGAACTCAGTGTTTCACTTGT